AAAAACTACTTCAAAAAATATTCAGCTTTGATATTAATGAGTTTTTTGGGTTCATTGAGAACATGGTTGTTGTTCAATAATAAAATTAATCCTCAAAAATACAACTTGCCTAATAATTCTGCACTCCCTGTATTCAGTGATTTATGCATTATGTAGTTTGCTTACATGACAGGCGCACAGTCGGATTTGCCGGCATATGCGCTAACCTTACCCCAACCCCCATTAAAACACGGACACAGGTTATACTGTTGGAAATAATTTGTCCACAGCTTTATTAAATTATTAATAAATAATTAAGGAATAACAAATGGGGTCATTGCCAACAAATCTTAATAATGTTAACCTCCACCATATACATAACATACCCCTAGCAATGACCCCACAATAATAACAATAGATAACAATATAAATAACATGTTAACACAGAAACTGGCAGTCCAATTTGACCACATTTCCACCAGGTTAAATTGTAGGGGTGTACCGAGACACCGCTACCCACCATATCCATTGTAGGGGTGTACCAAGACACCGCTACCCACCATATCCATTGTAGGGGTGTACCAAGACACCGCTACCCACCATATCCATTGTAGGGGTGTACCAAGACACCGCTACCCACCAGTTCCAGTGTAGGGTGTACCAAGACACCACCACACCCCCAGGTTCGGAGCCACCGACGGGCTCGAACCTACCAACCACGTACAACACTGGCCAATCCACACTAAACCTCAGGATGCCCACTTTCTCCTCCATCTACCCTCCGATTTAACCAGGCCATTCCCCGCCACAGCTCAGGACTTGACACCTAAAGCTCCTGAACGACCCCCACCACACCGGAATAAGGCCTGTTGAATGCCTTCCTGAAGGCCCAATTTAAACAGATCACACCTTACATCCGAAAATGTATCCCATCCCACCTGGAGTACCCAGGGAGCTTTCCTCCCAATTCGTTGTGTCTCACTGTTACACCGCCCCCACATCTGATAAATACCGCCATCAATTTTTTATTAAGGCGTCCTCGACACCGAGCTACCACGGCCGGGTACGTAGTATGTTTCCAATGTAACCAAGGAACCATCTCGGACCGCACCACCACCACACCCGTGGCCAGCTCCCATAGCTGGTCCACCTCCCTCTGCCTCCACCTGATAAATTCCTTTTCCGGGACATGCCAATATCCAGAATGTCCTGGAAAGTACCCCTTGTTACCTCCCGGAAAAATTTCTCCCCTAATGTCTTGCCACCAAAATCCCTGAAAAACAAAACCACTCCTGCTCCACCAATTTCAAAGGAAAGCCCAGTTACGTTGGAACTGAAACGCAGCTCTCATCTGTGCCCCTTAGATATAAGAATGACCCACCAACCATGTCACTAAACCTGAAACGAAAGTAATTAGCGACAAGGCATAGCCCCAAACACAAACCCATACGTCCATAGCCATTAAACCAAATAGACTGGCCTGAAACAGGACTTAAACCGTACTGACTCCCACCTGCCTAAACGTTTCCCTAGGTCCTCACTTAAAACCAGGTGGGGTGCCTCTGTTACCGCCATCACCTGGGAAGAATGGGTCCCAAAGTGCCCGGGATCCAAACCCAACATTGTCAAACCCCTTCAAACAAACACCTGCGGGAATTGAATCGTGACAGCACCGATCTGTCCCCTTTTACCAGTAAGCCACCCGGGATGTCCGGGCAAAGCTCCAAGTAGCATGATGCGCTTAACACCGGGCGTACCCCTGACCCCGGCAGGGAATATAGCTTTACCAAACCTTAACCGACTAAGGTTCGACAACCAAGTGTAGAACTCCCCAACACCTGCCCGAAGGCACTCACCAGTTCCCCAATCCAAATTGCCCCAAGCCTCCGAGAAGGCCACCGCAAGCAAACTCACTGCAAAAGTAGGGTAATACACCACCAGGCGTTGCGTTACCCAAGGAAACCCGCCGCCCGGCACCGACATATTTCATATCTCTTCGTAAGACCCACGATGCCTGACGGACGTGACAACGTTCCGTCACTTCCTCCCAATCAGTCAGTTTAAACCCTAACGACAATGCCACCATGCTCCTGTCCATTGCTGATGGAGCTAACGCTGAACAAACAAACGGCTTAGGAACCACAGCAAGGTATCCCTTCGCCCCTCCTTTGACTGGGCCCCCACGGTGAAACCAACCGCCAAACGTTCACATAGGCAGTCCCTGTGCCCGGTGCCATAGGATTCTGTATCGATCCTCCAAGCATGGCGTCTCGAGCTGCCACATTTCCTCCAGACTGGACAGTCCCTCCTCCCGCGCCCCCTGGGGCCGCCATTCGCAGCTTGTCCCCTTGTGCGCGAGCCAAGTAACCAGCCCCTATCTTCCGCCAACCAGGCACGTGGCGTGCCTGCACCCGATACCTGAACAGTGATACGAATCGCCGCCATCGGCGTACCTCCTGAACCGAGGACCCGGCTGGATGGTAAACCACACGAACCCCGCCGTATTGTGCGTGAATTATGACTTTTCATCCCTTAATCCTTCACCTTTTAGAGCCACAGCCACTCCCAATTGAAATAACTCAAAAGATGCCAACGTCGAATAAGAGGACTTACCTTTCATGCCTCCCACCACCGCTCTGCGCACCACCTGCCTTCCAGGTATGCCCCGGAATCTATGTTCCCAGAGGTATCTGTGAACAACTTGATACCACCCGCAAAGGCTCCACAAGTAGCCTTCGCCATGAAATGGCTACCGACCCAGTCCTCGCGACTAACCCGACATGCAACTTGAAACTGCCTTATGAACAACTGCGATTTCTCAGTGACCTTCTTGGACCTGCGAACCTTCAGCCTGAACTCCCGAAGTGCAGTCAACTGAACCCCAGGCAATCGACACTCTCCTACCACCGAAACAATTTCCAGTCCAAGCAAAGACGTCCGGTAGGATTCCCATGACCGTAAGGTATGTCCACAACGGCCCGGCCCAGCCGAGCCCACACAGCAAGCTATCTTACAGATAATGTACTAAGGAACCCCTTTCTGATTCCTTTTTCACCTCCCACTCCCAGACGGATCCAACTTCCCGAGTAGGAACATGAATGGAACTGCCCCTTGGCAAGTAGAGGTTACCAATAGGAACCTGCAAACATGCAACCCAAAAGATGGAAGGGTCGCCAATAATCGAACGCGTCCTGTTCCCCCAAACCAACTCGACGGCAAGGCCGAATGATGCCAACGATACAGAACAGTTCCGCGGCGATGTCCTCATTTACCGATGCCCCTTTTGGGTGCGATAAGTTTTGTATTGGACAGAATTTGCCCGCCCATTTCTAGGGGACCACCCCCCATGGAGACACCCACAGGTCCGCTAATGGCGCGGAAGTTCCCCCATGGACTTGATATTCGTCCCACCACTTTTCCTGGTCCCTCGACTTTGAATGGAATAGCGTAAACCCCCTCAACAATCTCAGCCATAAAACTAGCGCATTCATGGGAGGCTTACTGCCTTAGCCACAGCAGCAATGCACTGATCATCACTGGTGCCGCTCCGAGCCGCAACCGCGGGGCTGAAGCCCTGCCGAGTACCCTTCCTGCCTTAGGTTTTCCTTTTTTGACGCGTCAGTTGACACCGTGACTCCCACCGCCTCCGGAACACCCGTATCGAAGCCTACCCGACGGTCCCCAGTTGTACTGACCTGTCTTCTGTCCAGCCAGCACAGCACCTCCTGGGGGTGCGCCGTCAGCCCCCGGAAAGAGCGCATTTCCTGCACTATCATTTGGAACCACCCCTTTTAACTCAATGAACTCCTCGAGCAGATGACATATTTTTTTTTTTTACATCCCCTATGTCAAATCTTATCCTCCACCTTCAAGTGCCCCCCAATGTCCCCGCGAAGGACACGTGCCCATTTTGTTGCGCCACGCCTGGAATATTGCCACACATCTAACTGTTCTCCTGCCCCGTCAGATGTCCCCGGTACCGGTACACCGTATTCCCCTTCCCTTACCCGGCACGCCGTCACCACCACCCTTACTTCGGCCTCCCGACTGCGCTCTGGTGACCCCACCCTTCGGCACTGCGGGGACGGACCCTTTTTTCCTTGATCATGACTCTAAAATGATTTATGCAATTTAAAAAAGTGTGGTGTGTTTATTGACTCACCGCCCGAACCCCCGTCTGCGCTGTCCTTCCATCCACCTTGCCAGGCTCTGGAGTATCCGGTGGATGCCGACTCCTGTCCGCGCTGGTCCAGCCTCAAGCCCGTAGAAGTAACACTCCTCGACCTGCTTCTCCATCCCTCATCCGACCTCCCGCTGCTGCTGTGCCTGTCATTGTCGTTGCGCTGCTCCCTGCCGTACTCACACCTGCTGATGCTCCTCCTGTGTTCCTGCTCCTGAGAACACCCCCCAGGGGGCTCCCGCTTGCCTCTGTGCCTTACGTCCATTTCCACCCGTCCATGTCCTCTCTTCTGCCCTCTGCTTGCAGTACCTGGCCTCTCCCAGGCCGCCTCATCCACTTGTGGCCCCTTTAATCCTGGTTGCTGGCCTTCCTCTCCATAGCTGCTCTGCTGTGCCTGTGAAGACTCCGCCTGCTGCTTTCACTATCCCCTTCCTTCACCTCTGACCTGACCCTGGCCCCATCCAGGGCCGCCTCCGTCTGTGTCCCGCCGACCTGGACCCCCCCCGCCTGCCCATTGGGGGGGGGGACCGCTTTTACACTGCTGGGCCCTTGCATCATTCCCCCTGTCACTCAGGTATGCCACCAGGGGCAGACTCACCAGGACGCCTCTTGCCGCTCTCCCTGCCTGGCGGCCATCATGTCATGCTGGATTCCGCCGTCCTTTGTGCTTTCCCGCCCCCCCCGCCTTATTGCAGGGGGCGCTCTTCCTGTGCGGCCTCATCCTGACCTGCCGTCTTGCCTGACCGGCGCCGCGTCGAACATACGGCGCCAGCCGCCCTCCAACTCCTGCCTGCTTTCCGACCTCATTCTCAGCCTTCCCCTTGCCGCCTCCTGACAGGCTCACGGGCTGCCGAACTAACGATGTCACTCACAGGCTGCCGCTGGGGCGTCCTCGCTCTCCTTGCTGGCCTCTGTTCCACCGCCGCGTGGGGGGTAGCAGACGTGCTCGGGGCCCCCCAGCTGCTCTTGCAGCCACCAGCCCCGATTCTGCCACAAACTTTGTGACCAGGATGGTGGCTTGCTTGGAGTTCTGTCTGAGGCTGATGGGAGTGAGCATGCAGCAGCAGCTCACTCCAGCCTCTCCTGTACCTCCATGCTGTCTCCTGTACCTCCATGCTGCCTCTGTTCTTCTATGCTGCCTCCATGCTGCAGATGGGAGTGAGCATGCAGTAGCAGCAGCTCACTCCAGCCTCTCCTGTACCTCCATGCTGTCTCCTGTCTCAGTACTGCCTGTTCTCCATGCTGCTGATGGGAGTGATCATGTAGTAGCAGCTCACTCCAGCCTCTCCATGCTGCCTCCTGTCTCAGTCCTGCCTGTTCTTCATGCTGCCTCCATGCTGCCTGTTCTGCTATGCTGCTGCCTTCTCCCTCCAGGGCAGGCAGCTTTCACAACTGACAGGTAAGCTTAGGTTCAGTTAAAATGGCCACTTCATATAATGGCTGGTATAAATACTCCCCTTATGGCTCCGCCCTACCCAGCATGCTAGCTGTCACTAAATTCCTGTGGCTGCTATGCCTACCTCCTGGCTCTGTCAAGGCCTATTCCTCTTAGCTGCGCTGATCCATGGGCTACAGTTTCACTGCTCGAACGGCAATATTCAATGGCATAGTGTGCAGCAGTTCAGATATTTCTCTGCTCATAGTCCAAACTGATATAAATTAGAGCATCAACAGGGAGTTTTATAGACTACTTACCGGCCACAGAGCCTGCTGAAGGAAAAACATGCAATACCTTTTAAATCAAACGTTATATAAATGAGAAGGGAGGAGAAGGTTTAGTGGAAACCAAATACAAACAAACCTGCTTAACAGTATGTGTATTGCTGTGCTTTATAAATCACAGTTGCTTGCTAGAAACTATTTATTATAGCTTTCTTAAGACAAAGTAACTCAATGTTCATTGGCTAACAATTTCTGCCTTGGCTCCTTGGATTAAGCAGTTATGTTAGGGAACATTATTTGTTGTCTTATTTATAGGGGTAAAATACAGAACAGCTGGTTGAGCTGAGGAATATCATTGCAGAGAAGCATAGCCTAAGTATATGGACCTCTATGAAGTACCTCTTTGTTTTTAATATGGGGAGCTGACATGCCGCGTGATTGGCTGATAACAGTGCTGCCTTGTACACAATATGCAGTAATCTTAAAATCTGTCAAAACTGCAAGAATTGTAGTAAAACAGGGTTTAAACCCTGAGCATTAGGAATCCAAGAAATCTTACAATTGCTTCCAACCCCCATGTTATTTACATAGATCTCCATTTATGTAATATTCCCTGCAGCCAAAACATGAATGTGTTTTGTTACATTAGATTACGAACCAATATCGAAGTAATTTTAATGAATGCATAATAAAATAAGTTTTGATGTATTAAAGGAACCTTCAAAATTAATAAATATACACACAATTTTTTGAAATGCAAATATATATATATATATATATATATATATATATATATATATTTTTTTTTTTTTCTTTCTTCTCCTCCTCCTCTGACGGAGCAAGGCCACGTAGAAATCACCTCTCCTTCGGACACAACAGAGATCTCTGCATATACTCCCAACAGGCTTGATTTGGGTACTGCGGGCATCTGGGGTGGTACTCTGCCTAATTATAAATCAGTCTCTGCTCAATGCAGGTCAACAAAATGTTAGGAATGTTTACTGGATCATGATTAGCCAACATTGTTATTATAGCTTATTTTCATTGTTGAAAAGAATAACAACTGAGTGATTAGAAAAATATTCAGGAAGAAAGAAGTCATTCAGCGTGTTAGAGAACAAATTTCATTTAACTCCTAAAAGGGGCCTAGTACATTAGAACTCAAACATGAAAAAGAGAAAAAAAAAAAAAAAAAACTCACTGCAAGTAAACCTGAAAGTGCTGTTAAATAACAGAATGACTTATCAAGTCCAATGAATACTGTACAGACAGTGGCAGCAACAAAGAGTGGCAAGGGACCTACGTGCACCATAACATAGGCAAAGAACACAAGTTGTTAAAGGATCACTATAGTGTCAGGAAAACAAACTTGCTTTCCTCACATTATATCATCCTTAGGACCCCTTCAGTTACTTACTTTAATCTAGCGCCGGGCTCCATCGGCGCTTGCGAGGTCTCCTCCCCCCGCCGACTTCAGCTCCTGAGTGGAGCGGAATGCGCGGCCAGAGCCGCGCGCCCATTCAAACAGTCCATAGGAAAGCATTTCTCAATGCTTTCCTATGGACGCTCTGCATGCTGGATGCAAATTTCACATCCAGTGTCACAGAAGGTCCTCTAGCGGCTGTCAGGAAGACAGCCACTAGAGGCTGGATTAACCCTGCAATGTTTCTCTGAAACTGCTATGTTTACAGCTGCAGGGTTAAAACCTGGGGGACCTGGCTATAAATGTACCTTTAATGATGTTTGGAGTATCTTATCCTTTCTAGCAAAACTAGCTAGACACAAAAGATACTGCTTAAATGAAAGGGGAACTTCTGCTTTAGATATATCTGTGGAAAATTGCGACAGGTTTTGGTTTGGTCTTACATCATGCATTTTGGTTACTGAATTTGGAAAGTCAGAAAAAAAAATATTTTTAATTGGGCAACAATATTGCAGACGTAGACATCAAGATGCCTCTTTCCCATGGCGGAAATAAATTGTAACTGGAGGTCCACCGTTTGCCAGCTCCATTTTGTCCACCTTATAATACCAGACAATGGTCACATAAAACATACAAATACCAGACACAAGCTCAGTAAGCACAGGAAGTTAAGGCAAAACAAACTAGAAAAATACAGTATTATTTTTATTATTTTATTTTAATACCACACTGTGGAGCTAAGTACAGACTAATCCCTTCCTACTCTGCATTAATAAAATATTATTTACAGCTGTTCGATAATATCCATGTAGGGGCCAATAATGAATGTCAAACTACACTTTATCCAGCTACAGAGTAACCAAGAAACAAACTTCTCTGCTTTCCTTTTCATTAAAGTTAAAATTCAAACATAATCCTAGGATCAAAACCTCTCTCAGCTAACTAGGGGGGGTTGGGGAAAACATTATTTCACTGTACTTTTTATATATTGATGGGCATTTTTAGGTTTAAACTTTAATGATGTGGATCACTGAATACAAAACCACATTAAAGTAAAATTTAAAAAAATGATTAATGCACTAATATTTATTCAATTTACAAGGAAAGCACACGCAGATAAAGTATAAA